AAACATGAGGTGCAGGCGTACAAAATGCAGCAGCGACAAGAAAATATGACCGGCATATTATCTAGAGACAAACATACAACATATGGAACCAGACTACAACAGGGGACGGGCATGATCAAGATCTCGAGAGCTCGATGTCCGGGTGGACCGGGAACTTGGGCTGTGGGTAGTCGTCCCAGGTGCGCTCCGAGTCGAGGAATCGACGAAGGCGTGCGACCTGCGAGGAGAGGTACATGACAATAATCTGCATCTCCATTTCGAGATTAAGCGCGAGGATCTCCTCGCACGTCTTGAGAGCCTGCGTGCGTGTCGAGACAAACATGTTGCCTTCGAATCCGAGCGCCTTCAGCGCGTCAGTCATCTCGCTGAACTCGGAGCACCACGCGAGCACGCCGAGCTGCATGGCACACCAGTGAGTAAAGCAAAGCGCGGAATGGAAACGAGGGTATTTGAGACGCACCTGACCGTACTGCTTGTACCGCGCGAAGAGCACATTGGGCGCGCTCTTCAGCGCATAGTCGAACATGTCGTTCTGCTCGATGACGCCCGGTTGAGGCACGTATGGTTCTGATGGCGGCGGCGGAGGCGCGGCCGGCTGCAAGGACGCATTAGCCTTTCGTGCACGCAAAGCGCGTGGTGGTGAGACGCACCTCTGGCCGCGGTGGCGGGTCCTTGAACCACTCATATCCAGAATAGTCGACCTCATCTCCCCAGTCGACTGTGTCTGCCTGCTTGCCGTAGACTTCCATCTCTGGGAGGGTCGTCGAAAGGCGTGAGTTGTTCTTGATGAGTGTGCGAAGGTAGTTGGGAAGCGGGAAGGTGTCTTTGCTCTCTTCGAACGCGCGGGCCGAGGGATAATAGATGTCGTATCTGCCAGGCGAAGGTGGCTGGATGGGCGTGCTAGGACTCGAGTCAGCTGTACAGATGATTTAGTCCCTTAGTGAAACATCTATGGCACAATATACGCACTGAGAAGAAGGCTGTTCCTAAAAGTTACTCTCAGCGGCAGTGGCAGCGGGCTGGGTTGCGGATCGACGGGCGAGGGGTCGCGGGACGATGGGTGCAGAAGCAGAAAGAATCTGGCCTGCTGACGCTGCTCAGTATTGACATCGGCAATCAAAGCGCCAACCTGGCTCACCGGCGTGGGAGAATCCTGCTGGGCTACACTTGCAATCAACGGGCTGTCTTTCTGGTCCCCGAAGGCGATTGAGGCGGCGGTGAGAAATGAACGAATGTTCGAGCGGTGCTCTGTGAGAGACTGCTGGAGTCCTGTAGGAGTAAACCGGCTCAGAAGGGGCGTGTGAGGACCGGGAATAGTGAGCCTGGGGCGCGGGCGCTGTGCGGGAGGCGAGTATAGGGTGACAGAGGAGCTGTCCGATTGGAGAGCCTTTGTGGCGGAGCCTGTGAGACTACTGCAGCGTCTGTAAGATGACATACTCACCTCGATGCGAGGAGACGCTGGAGCCGAAGGCACCGGCAGAAGGGATCGTGGCAAGATCGGGAGTGGTGCAGGAGACTCGGGCGACGGAGGAGTGACCTCTATCAGCGGGCTGGGTGGATACAGAAACGGTCGATGGGGATCGATCCCAAGAGTGTTCCTGGAGAGCCAAGATGGAGAAGGTGGTGGAAGCGGTGTCCCGGCAGGTGAGATATCGGTTGTGGTAGAGGCGTAGGGCGATGGTGTAAGGGTCTTGGGATCGACACACTCCCACTTAATGAGGGGGAAGTTGGGCCGAGAGTCTTCTGGAGAAGTCTGCGCAGCTGGCTGGGACTTGGGTGCTGGCTCAGTCTCGCGATGTTCCGAAAGTATATCAGGGACGGCACTAGCCGGCCCACGCTCAAATGGTGCGAGGTCCAAGAATGGCGTTGAGTCGAACAAGAGTTCCGGGAGGAACTGTGGCCGGCGCCGCGTGGTGACAGTGAGTTCTGTCGAGACTTGCTTGCGCGGTTCCGAAGAGGCGCGGCGTGCGGGTAGGAAAGGTTTCGCTCTAGTGAGAGTCCTCAATCGCTTGATGCCTTTGCGAATAGGATTGAGACCGACAGACGAGATAGCGTGGGAGGGTGTGATTGTGGACGGGCTGGGTGGTCCCGGACGTAGGAGGCGAAGGCGGAATAAAGTTGGGATCAATAAGGGTCTTCCTTGAGTGATTACGGAGGGGGAGAG